TTGAGAGGTAAAAAGGATGTGCCCCATACAGGTTGGTCTTTTCCTACAAATTAGAGACAAAGACATGAATATTACTAGAGTGGCTATTTGTCCAATATCATAATCAAACTTAAAATCACAATTAAATAAACAACAAACAAACTAATAAATAGCTCCCACAATTGCAATTAATAAACCAAAGGAGCCAGGCACTGAATGTTATTTAAATAAGCTTTTCCACTGAAGACATTTTTCCATGGTTATAGTAAACAAAAGAAAAGTCCCAGAGCCAGGACCTCATCTAAGTGGAGCATGTGCACATTGGGTCACAACTTACTGGGACACTGCTTCATGTTTTTAGTAACACCTGTGCTTTTCCCACTATGACAAACTGTCAGTAGGAAGATAATGTCTGTGTGGCTAAAATGTTCTAAATGGAGAGACGTCCATACCATAGGAGGCACATCTCGAGCCCACAAGGTGAGCGTGTTCCATTGGACATCGTGCAGAAAGGTGGAGCGGTGTTCGCCCAGGCCATAGATGAACTGACTGGGCAGGGAGGTGGAGAACTGGAGGAACTGATCAGCATAGAAGAGAGGAGCCACTGTGGTGTTCACGCTAACAGGGAAAGGATGAAGGGGACCACAGTGTTAATACCACAACACAGGCCATTTTCTCAACTGACTTTCTAGAATACTGTAGCCAACACTAGTGAGACTTACAGCAGAGCTCCTGTAGAGCGCCTCTTCACGATGAGGCCAAACGGCTCCTTTGAAAGCTCTACAGTGTACTCTGGACGTTCTGCCTTTTTAGTGGCAGTGGGGACAGAGATTGGGACCTCAAACCGTGGATTTGAAGGGTCAGTAATCTAGATTGAGAAAGAAACAGTTTGTATTTGAGCCGCTGGCCAGGAAATTTACAGCAGTACCTCATGAAAACTTCAGACCTGCAAAGTTTATGACAGCACCTTTATACCTGCTTGATTTAATTAAAATATTCTCAAAAATATTATTGAATGTGAAATCTGTTGTCTGCAGACCTGTGTAAACTCCAGAGAAACAAAGGAACAGAAATTCACCGAGCAGCAGTGTAGATCTGTGTTTGTATGGTAATGGTTTGCTATTTTATTTTTATTTTTTTTACAACTAACTGGTAATGGTAATCATGAACCTTCAAAGCCAATTGATTTCACTTATTTTGGCTGTGTAGGTGTGTACACGGGTAAACAGTAGTCAACTTGGGAAAAGACATTCAAAGCATTCAAGTCCACTGATCAATCTTTTAGCTCTGCTTTGTTGTCTACCTGTTCTTGAGAAATACAGCTGGATCTTTACCATTCTAAATGTTCCCCTTTCTTCACCAGCGATGAAAAGATGAATTTTAGCTCCTGGCTGACTTTGTCTGTCACCACTCAGGTGATGAGCAGGAGCTTACGTATTTACTGAAAACAGCTGTATACTGTGGCTGGAAACGGTGGGTAAATCCCAAATCCCTTAATTGTATCCACATTTCCCTCACACCTTAGTAAGACCATGTAGGATGCGAGGAAACAATGCAAGGAGAAAATGTAAGGAGAAAGGAATTGAGGAACCATTTTTAAAGAAACAAGACGTCCTGTCCTTTGAACCTTCATCTGATGTGTCCGATCGCTAACTTATTTCTGATAAAGGGGCATGTTGGTCCATAAAACACTTCCGTGAAGAATGCTTTCATATATTCTAGCTCACGGCTCCTCCAGGCAGCCTCCTTGCTCCTCAAAGCAGGAATAGGGGCTTTAGGACGTCCTTCAAGATGGCAGACCGATCCTTGGGCTGAGTGAGGATTGTGGCAAAATCAAATAAGGGAACTGAGATTTACCCAAAACCGATAAGAGTGGTGAGTGAACCACAACAGTAAAATCACAGGCCATAAAACAACATGCTGAAAGATGCTACATTTCACACTGGTCAGAGCTTTTAAGTGTAAAAAAAACTGCAATAAAATCATAAGAACTTCATAAATATACTGAGACATCTCTCATGTGCTTTTTGTGAGATGTTTTTATATTTGATTAGTATGATTCTACATGCTAGATCATTTCTTGAGCAGTTATAAAGAATAAAGTCCTTGATCAAAAACAGAAACCACATCCTATATGAATTATTCAATATAACTGAAGGCTCATGTGTGTTCTCCACTCACCCGGACACGTAGTCGTGTGTCTGTCTCATATCGTATCTCCACCTCTAGGATCAGGATGTCTGCTGGGTAATAGGTCTTCACCTTTCTTACAAGTGTACCTTTTTGTCCCAGAGATGTGTCTTTTATTGACACAAGTGAGTAGGAAGGGAAATCCGGAGGGTAGAAACACCAGGGGATGCCATTCTTCCCTGATGGGCGGGTGACAGAGAAGGAGGAATTGGAAGTAGGGATGAAGCAACAGTTCCTTGCCTCGCACAACTCTCTGGTCACAACCACTCCTCTTTCAGGGTAACAATCAAACCTCCACGCCTCTGGGACTAAACTACAGGCCTCATGGCGGGAAGCGGCTGCAGTGTTGTTTACTCCTGTTTGTGCTGGTGGCGGAGGTTTGTGCGGCTGTAAGTTGGTTGGAGCGTGCAGCCAGAACACAGTTCCCAGAAGCCAGCCTCCACAGAGGAGCATCAGCAGGCACCCAATCACCAGGAGGCCTGTGGTGACCGAGCAAGGTGGCCTCCACGGAAGCAAGGAGGCTTGCTCTGGCTCCAGGACCTTGAAACACGACAAGGACATATGACAGGAAAACAGAAAAACAGGAGCCAACCATATTTAAGCACATGTGTACATGTACAGAGTCAAACAATATAAAAATGAGTCTTAACACTTAAAATGTCCTCAAACATTAGCAACAAGAAGAAAGAGCACGATGTTTCTGCAGCACAGAAAGAGACCAATCCAGAAGGCCGTAGAAGGCTGAAGGCATGAACTCACCGAGCCATCTTCTCGGATAGCACGAGGCTCCTCCAACAACACCGCATTGGAAAACTGAATGTCTTCAGGATTTAGCCGCTTGTATGACACCATCCTGATAGTGTTTGTTTGTTAAAAGGAGCAGCTGAACACATGTACTGTAAAAAAGACAGCAGGACAAAGTTCAGTACAGCAACTATTATCATTTCCTGCTCTGGTGGGAGAAGTGCTGAAGTAATCTTATTTGACAGCTGATTTTATGGTTTCATTTTGACTCTCCAACAGAAAAAAGAAGTAACAGAAAGCGGAAGATGTGCATAGGACAATAATTATGGGAACTATAGTGGGAACTGTCTTTTAACAGTCAGTAAATAAAGTAGAGTAAGCACAGTATAAAACAGCCAATTACAAATAAATGTTTAGCATTCAAAAAGTCAATTAATTAAAAGTACAAAGTATTAGCAAAATGTACACGTATCAATCAATAGCAGAATCAGCTATTGATTGCTGCTGCTCTCATCCTACAGCTCTCTCTTCCTGACCCTGTCTTTCTGCTTCAGCAGCACTGGTTGAAACCAATACATATTCGAAACGAATCAACTGGATCGCTAATCACACTGGTCGTATTGATCAGCTTCGCCACGTGTGTTTTTCGATATTACCGTGGACTGAGAGGTCAGATATTCGGCGTCATGGTGTTCAGCTATCTCAAAACGGTACTTACGTAAATGTAATTGGATATATTCCACCACACAATAAAACCACCTGGGAACAGATTAAGCTGAAACTGCTGCCACAGATAAGCAATGACCATAACTGGAAATTAGAGTCATGCTGCGACAAGTTTAGCTTATATAGGTACAGATCTTATTACCTGCGGCTTATATTTGTAAATAAAATGTAATGTTGACGTAGTGTTTGTCTTAACCCAAAACACAACACTAATGACATCTTGCGGGATTATCATAAAGCCGGGGTATAATGAACGCTGATATGAAGTGTCCACATTTCGCAGGTAACTAGCTAATGTTAGCTCTGCGTGTAAAAATCATGTAAATGCCAAGGCTCACCAAAGAGACATTTGAGAACTCAATCAATTCACAGCAGTTCTGAAGACTAACGTTAGCTGACAACACCCGGGTAATTATAAAAAACAATAATCCGTAGTTTGACACTGACAAAATTGTTATTACATTATAGCGATATAAGTTAGCATTTTAGCATTAGCGCAACCTTTGTAGCAAAGTAATTTTAGCTAAGATGAGCTAATGACAGGGAACACGGCCGTTTGCATGAACACTGCTTACCTGGATGTCCTTTGATCTTGACACGTGCACAAAAATACAACATACAAAGCAATGTTTCTTTTACATATAAGTTACCTATTTCGTTATATTGATCACCTCAACCGCCTGCATGGTGTGCGCCTGCTGTTTATCTCCATGCAACATTCAGGACGCCTCGTAATTTCTGCAACTTCCGTTTGAGGAGCTGCCCAACCTCTTCGGCATGTCCAGCGCGTCTTCATTCCCACGTCGGCTTCTCGATCTGTAAACTGAACTAAAACAGTCATGTGCTTCTATCAACAACGTTATGTTACATATAAAGATTAGTAATTCAGACTGGTTAGTCAGAATATGAGGTATTCGTGGAATTAAAGGTGTTTTCATGCAACAGAGTTGCATTCAGGAGCAGCTGTGGGTTTTGCATAAACTGTAAATGACCAGTCAAGCTGCTAAGTTTGTCATATATGACAAACAGTGACGTGCTCTTGAAAAGAAAAAAAAGTTAACCATAAAATATAATAAATGTTAATATTTGTCGGCTGGTGTGTGTTGTAGGCCATTTTGCCGCTCGAATCCGATGTTGAAGGATTTTTTTTTCAATAAAGAATAGCAGAATTTCCGTATGTCCCGTTCAAATACATGGAGGAGATGCGCGATGAGGCAGCACTTTGCTGTGCCTCTCGGTGGATCGTGTAATCCTCACAAACTGTATGCGATGCAAATAGTGTGTCGCTGTCCCTCTATATATCGCAAATAAAATGCTTTCAAACACTCTGATTATATGCTCTGCCTTGCCATAATCTGGATAATGTATAAAATGTAGTTCTGTAACGTGTTTAGGCTGCAGATTAACCATAAAACCCAGTAAAAAAGTTACTCGGTGAGGCAAACAGTACGCCTGCCTCAAGGCAGAGGGCGCTAGTGAGCCCACAGATTCTTGCGCTACCTACAATCTTCTTCGTGCTTGTTTATATTTCCTTTACAATCCGCCTTATCAAAATGGAAGATTACATTAGCAAGCTGAGAAAATTCGCAAATCTGGACTTTCAATCAAAACATTTTTGTCCAGAAGGATCTTCTTTATTGAAAACATTTGTTTTAATATTGGATTCGAACGGTAAAAGGGTTTGTAATACATACCAGTTGACAAATGGATTTATTTGTAACTCCTTAATCAATTTGGTTAGAAGTCTACTTAAAATATACTGTTAAAATATACTCACTATTAATGCTAGCAAGTTCTTTCCAGTACCTACAGCCTTTATGTTTGAGAGGGAGATGATTGTACCTCTCACACATGAACTGTTGCAGTCATAAATGTCCAAGCAAAACAGTCAGTACTTTTACCTTTATTGTTCAGTATAACATGACCCATACAATTTAAATAGAGGCAGCACTGAGCAACATTTACCATCTAAATGGCTTAAAATTAGTCATTTATATCACAGAGGATGATTCCTTTATTCACAATGGTTACTTGGCCTTAAGAGCTTGTCTTAACCTGATTCATGATTTGGATGCTGAAATAAAATAACACCACTAAGCCAAAATAGTTTTGGAAAAACACTGATGAATATCATGATCCCATAGTTTCATTACTGGCTACATTTCCCAAAAAATGAATTCCAGTTTCACCTGATTCATAGACTGTTCACAGACCACTGTAATATCTGATACAAAAACAATTATTTTTCAATCCAATTGCCAAATGCACAATGTGTTTGAATGACAAATACTGAATGGAAAAAGTGGAAAATCACAGACCTGTACTATGATATTCAGATGCATCTAACATAGGTCAAGGTGATAAACAAGAGCAGATATGACTTCTAAAACGTATCGTCTAAACAGTTTCCAAGATTTTACAAAAGCTGTTTGCAGTAAATATTTGTCTGATCATTTTCTTTGAAAATGTGTTGCTTGTTGCTGAACATCACCTTGTTTGTGCCTGTCTATTAATTTGTCTGCATTTTTCTACATATTTTAGCTTTAATACTTTAGGGTGAACCACCACAAGCTATTCACAGAGGTAGTCCCTGACTCTCCTCTCTTTCAGTTCATGTTTTACTGCCTAAAATCTGGTATCGTTATACTACTACTTGTATGTATGTGTACGGTTCATAGATACACCATCAGTCATTTTTGTCTGTTATACACATATTAATTGGAGAGTTATCATCACTCTGTGAGAAGTCGTCATTCTTCACATTGAAAGCAGACTCCTCCACAATCTGAATCTGCTCGTGCTTTCGTTTGTGAAGCCTCAGACTTTGTGAGCGGCTGAATCCTCTCCCACAGATGTCACAGCTGTATGGCCTCTCTCCCGTGTGAAGCCTGAAATGGTTTTTGAGGCTTGAAGCTCGTGTGAAACTCTTTTCACACTCGGGACAGTCAAACTTCTCTCCAAAGTGGATTTTCTCATGCTCCCTCAAGCGGCCAGACTGATTGAAGCTCCTGTCACACACTGAGCAATGGTAGGGCCTCTCTCCTGTGTGTGTGAGCCGGTGTCTGTTCATGGCACCTGAGTGGGCAAAGCTCTTCCCACAGTCTGGGCAGGAGAAGGGCTTCTCTCCTGTGTGGACTTTCTGGTGACCTTTGAGTTGACCTTTTTGTGTGAACTGCTTCCCACACAGAGTGCATTGATAAGGTTTCTCTCCAGAGTGAATTCGCATGTGAATTTGCAATGCAGACATCTTGTGACAGTCCCTTCCACAGAGCCCACAGCAGTAAGAGCTCTTCAGATTGTTGTTAAACTGTTCCTGCACTGGTGATGCTGGAGGACTGCCTTTGTCACTGTCAGCGGCCTGATCGGAATCTTCTCCAGACACTGTAGAAACATAAATAGGAGCTGAAACATGCTAGTAATGCTGAAGAAAAACGAAACATCTGATATATATACACCTTTTTACTTGTTAAAATACTGTTTGCTGTGGGATACAACATGGTGTATAATTGAAAGGCCATCATATGAGATAAAAAAATGATAAGATGAACAGCCTTCTATGTGTGTACTGCACAAGCCTTATTGCCAAAACAACGGATGCAGTAAAGGCCTGCACAAATTCATGTTTAAGAACTCTCAGAGAATGCGACAAGAAGGGAGTCCATGCAAAGGTTAAAATTAAACAAACACAAATGTATTAACACTAAACAAAAGCGGATGCCAGGTGTAAAGGAAGGAACAACCCAACACAGCACATGGGCCAGGTTTTATAGCAAAGAAGGCCCAGGTGAAGTTGATCAGCTAACGACTCTCCCATATCAGCCAATCCTGCCAAGGCTGGCCAAGACAATGGGAGGGACGTCACAATTGCAGTTAAATAAAACAATACCTATACAGTGGATTCATATCTTTTATAAGGAAATTTCACAGTATTTTTCTTACTGTTGACAAGTTCCTCTTCTTCCTCCTCCTTTACTGTGATCCTTATTTCTGTGTTGCTTTCCTCATGCTGCTCTTCAGTTGCCTCTGGCATGGTACAATCTTCACAAGCAGACCCCAGACCAGCTTTTTCTACTGGGGAAAACACACATACACACACACACAGTAGAGTAAAAACAATTTGCAAAGTCATGAATGTTTTTTTTTAAATATATAACAAAAATCTGGAATCTCGTGTTCACATACCACACAGTGGTTCCTCTTCTTCCTCCTCTTTCACTATAACATTCATTTGAGGACTGGAAGTGATGTCCTTCTCTGGTTCTTGCAGGTTATTTATATACTGAGCCGCTTTGTCACAGTGAAAACCCTTTGAGAAACAGGGCTCAACTGAAGTGGGTAAACACTGCCTGTCAGATACCTGTAACAGTTTCATAAGAACAAATAGAGATAACAAAGGTGTTATGAGGTTGTAAGGAAGAGAAGAAAGTTTGAAATTGCTGTGTATTGTCACTACCTCACAGCTGATGTTGTTGGCCAGGTCTTGCTGGGATAATTCACTGCCTGCAGCCTGAACTGGGCCTAAGATGTCACCTGTAACTGGTCCATTCTTGTTCTGTATACAAGACCGTTTGTGGTTTCTGAGTGTTCCTGCCAGTGAGAAGTGTCTTCCGCAGTCTGCGCAGGTGTACGGCTTTTCTCCTGTGTGAATCCTGGTGTGTCTCCGAAGTTCTCCGGGAGCTACAAAAGATTTATCACACTGTGTGCAGCTGTACGGTTTTTCACCAGTATGAGTCCGCATGTGAGTCGTCAAGGTCCACTGCTGTGCAAATGTCTTGCCACAATCAGAACAGTGGTACGGTGTAATGCCAGTATGAAGGCGCTCGTGTCTCACAAGTGTACCTGACAAGGCAAACCTTTTGTCACAGAAAGAGCACTGGTAGGGCCTCTCTCCAGTGTGAGTCCTCTGATGATCTCTCAGCTCGGCTGCTGAGTTACAGCTCTTGTCACAGTCTGAACACGGGAACTTCTTCCTTGTAAAACCCGCAACAACCTCAGAGTGCATCGCCTCTAAGTGAGTCTTCAGGTGCCAGTGACGAGAAAAGCTCTTCAGACAGATGGAGCAGTGATACGGCCTCTCGCCAGTGTGTGTCCGCCGGTGTAGCCGGAGCTCCCCCTGACTGGCAAATCTTTTCTCACAGAAAGTGCATGGGAACGGCTTTTCCCCAGTGTGGACCCTTTCATGAATCATGAGCAGCCCCTTCTCTGGAAACCTCTTCTCACACATGGAGCAGGGGAAAGGCCTCTCTCCTGAATGAGTGCGTAGATGGCGCTGAAGTTTGGAGGCATACGGGAAGTCTTTGCCACACACTGAGCAGCTGTGAAGAGAGGATGGCTTTTCATTGTCATTGTGAACAAACATCTTTGAGGACGCCTCGAAAACTCCAGTGCCAGGGATGGCACTCTCTCCTGTATGAACACAAAAACAAGAACAAGGCTTTATTTAGGAAAACATAAAGCAAACACTTTTTTCAAAACTATAAATCCCTGAGGACAAGCAGCATCTTCAGCAAAGGTGGATAGATATGTCATATACATAGAGTCAAATATAAGTCAGTGCAATAATGCTTTTCTGCTATTAAAATGTTTTAAAGGTATACAGATATATCAGATAACTGCAAATATGCACATTTTCAATTGGAAAAAAGAAAAAAAGAGCAACTTGGGGGCAGTTGTGGCTCAGGAGGTAAAGCGGGTCGTCTCCTAACCGGAAGATTAGCGGTTCGATTCCTGTCTTGTCCAGTCCACGTGTCTGTGAGCAAGACACTGAAGCCCCAACTGCTCCCGGTGATGACACCGGTGTGTGAATGGCCAAATAGTGTGAAAGCACTTTGAGTGTGCACTATACAAATACAAGTCACTTCATATTGGCCAATACCATTAAGTGATCAGAAGTAATATTATGAGAGAAAAAACATGATCATTGCATTTCTAGTCAGAAAAATTAATTAAACGGAAATGCCTGGAGATGGCTATGCTGAATTTGTGATTTTATATGATTAATACCACCCTAAAGAGGCAGCTCAGATAAAATGTATTTGTTTGTGAATCAACTGAAGTTTGTTTGTGAATCAACCAGCCCGATGTAGATAATCACAACACTTATTTTCACCATCTAACATTACCATGTTGGTTGACGTGTTATTGCTGCTATATCAAGAACACTACTGATGTAGCCTTTGGCCTTTGAAGCTAGTGTTTGTGTAAATTCCCCAAGTACTATGTGGACAATTCCATTCAGATTAATATTAATTACAGTAGTAGTCTGCAAACTGAACATCCATCCATTATCTATACCAATGATTTGGTTGAATTACAGCAGAGAGGGTTCTATTATAAAGTATACCCTGCTGTTTATGTACTCACTGAGATCTGAGAAGTCCACTTCTTCCCCATCAGAGTTGATCAAACCTCCAATTTCTTGCTGATCTTCGTCAGTAAGGATCACAGCAGGTCCAAAGTCATCTGGGTTTTCAGAGCCCATCTCTCAAATAAACAATGTTGGAGAGGTGAACAATCAGAAGTCAGTCAACAGGCAAATAATCATTTATAGCTAGTCAGTAAATTTATATACCCAAAATGTCACAGCTATTACAGGCTATTACAGGACTAACACAAATCTAGCACTGAAAATGTAAAGATGTCTTACATCTATGGTACAGAAAGAAATAATAACTATGTGATAGTATTACAATGTTCAGGCCAATATTCATTAAGTGTCTCTGACTGCAACTTTATAATCTAGTACTAAAACGGTGTTAGGTATTTTTAGTCAGATATTGGTTAGATACTTTATGTATTAGAAATGTTTAGTGGAGATAGGATGTCTAGTTAGACTGTTAAATGCTTAGTCATGCTTATGAGTTTCTACAGGGTACATCTGGTCAAGGATAACTAGAGAGAAGAGTTGATGACTGTCAGCAGACAGGGTGTTTAATATTATTATTATGATGTGTATAACTGTAGCCTTAGCCATAATATGTTCTTATGTTTAAGTCACGACATGTTACTAGAGGTCGTGTGAGAATGTTTTTAGTTACACACCACTTAATCAACAGACACACACATTCACACTGATTTGCTTCATGTTTTGACTACTGCTATGACCAGCTGCAGAGCTGGTAACAGAGATGTCTCGGTTGACGTTTCTGTGTAGTATGGGGCTAGCCCAACCGAGGGGATATAATGTATAGGCCTGGTGGGTTCAGGGTCTTTCATCTTTCATCTGCCTGCGTGCAGTTTGGAGGTGCAAGATACCCGAGCGTGTAATGTTAATTTTACCTGTGATCCTTTGAATAAATCAGCACTGTTTTGAAGTTACTTGGACTGCCTCATCTCTCAGAGTTAGCAATGGTACAAGAATCAGAGACCTACAACAGCTTAAGTCTCAAAAACACCAGTCCAACTTTTAGGCAGACAATGAAATTAATCAAAACAACTAGATCAATCATGATCTTCCTGCTAATGTCAGTCTTAATGTTCAGGAACCGAAGGAAACAGAGAAAGGCTAACTGCAAAATGGAAGCCAAATAGATATCCAGCGTCTGATATAGGCCAACTCCCACCCAGCCGGCTCTCCACCGGGGGCTTAACCTTGGTGGCTCAGAGGAGCAATACACACACTAATATATTAAAACTAGTTAAGAAATAAATTATTAAAGGTGATGAAAATCAGTGAACACGCTAAACATTAAAAGCTTGTTTGAAAAGATGTGTTTTTAACGCTGACTTAAACGCTGCCGGCTCAGTTATCGAGCGTATATCTAAAGGCAGGGAATTCCACAGCCTAGGGCCATAATGGTCCCAATCACATTTCTTCAGGAAACTTACCAATTCAGGGGTCAAATATTTGCAATACTTATATACATACAATATATTAAATAATGTTGTATAAACCCATTACTGATGGCTGTTATACACAGACATGACTTTATTTTAACAAACAGTATAAACCAAGACTGCCTTGACAGGCAAATCTGGCAGCCAAAGAGTCACAACTTTCCTTTCCTTTAGCCATTAATATATCTTAAATATATTCAGGGTTCTTCTAATCAAGATTAGCTGCTCAACACAATTCTTGGAAACATTTATGACACTGGTGGTGGTGACATGAATGAATTATACTACTACTTCAGTTGTTCTTACGATTTGCAATGAGCCATGGAAAATATTTAGTAGACTAAATCAGGTGTGCTTTAAAGCTGCAGTGTTAGTCAATCATTTCTGTCACTTTTCAAGCAAAATGTTTTGACAATTTCTGGTTAAAGCTTCTCAAATGTGATGATTTGCAGCCTTTTATTGGTATACAGTATCTTATTGAAAACAGAACACTCTGGTTTTGGATTGTTGGACTAGCATCTAAAAACATAATTTTAGACTTTGGACTCTGGATCATTTTTAGTTTTTCAGCCTCCTGCTATTTTCAGTCAGGGGAGTATTATTGTCTACGGATGGGGGTCTACACAGCAGTGCCTCCGCCCTGGAAGACAACCATTGTCCTGCACAAAGACACTTCAGCAGGGCTTTGGGGCTTGAACCTGGGTGGGCCTTGAAGCTGATGGACAGGTTACCTTAAAGGACCTATCATTACCATTCAGACACATAACAACCAGTAAATGGGCATCATTATTGGGTATGGTAACTATGTCAAGAATGTATCATGTCAAATATTTTACTGCCCTTTCAAGCGGTTTGGGCGTCAGAGTAAACAATCATCTCCACCGAATAGCCCAGCTAGCTCAGTAGCATTAGCTAGGGACTAGGTTTTGCTCCATAGAGATTTCACGTTAACTGTGATTTAAGTTTGTCAGCAATCTAACTGACTAACCTGTTGGTATCTCTGCTGTCATAATAAAACACATTACATCAGGAGCAAACACACGGTGCAGTACACACCCAGTATTTGACCTGCGAATGAGACGTCGGAGTCGTGATGTGACCACCACTTTGGTCAACGACCACCTCTGCCTCGAGAAAACTATTAGCCAGCTAGCCACTGACATGGCGTTTACTAGCTTTGCTCGTCTTAGCAACTAGCTAAGTGACCACCCAATAGCTTAGGTAGCCACCGAAGCTACAGCCGCTAATCAACAATAAACAGCTCCGACAGAGTCACCGTAGAATAAAGCATGAAAATAATTGTGCTGCAAATTTTACCTCCGTTCGAGTGACACTCGCTAACTTAGCTAGCTAACAACAGACAATAGACATTTTGACCAACCTCAGCATAGAATTTTTTTTCCCCTCAGGTAAAAAGTAGTCGCACGATACAAATTTATTGAAAGTACAATATGGCAATATTTCTACTTTTCTCTCATCTTCATGCTCAACGCCTAAACAAAGCCCCTGATCAATCACAGCTAACTCAAGACTTAAGTTAATTTAGCGTTTGGATCTTATAACCACCTTTCTAGCCTTAGCTGCTAACCACCTTACAGTAGTGTCGGAACTTCCGGTTGGCTTTATACATCACAACAAAAGCCTTTATTGTCGTTTCTCAATCTACTACCCATTACTTTTTTAACATACGTACACAGACATGAATACCGTGTATAATACTGACACCACTATGTAATGCCGCAAAATTGTACTTTACGATCTAAAGCACGTCAATAATAAAAGGATCATCAGTGAGTGATTATGTATTTTTATTTGATGTAGTTTAAGAAAAATAAGACAAATCCTTGATGAGAAAAAGTAAATTGACAACATACTCATTGGACATTGGAAGAAACACTGATCTACACCATTTACATAGTGAAAGTCCTGCATTCAAAACTTTTAAGTACACAAGTACTCCAGTGTTATCAAAATAATAAAGTACTCAAAGTTCTCATTATACAGAATGGTCCATTTCAGAATAATATACAGTATATTGCATTACTGGATTATAATTGGTGACACATTGGTAAAGGTGGTAAAGGTGGGAGTAATTTCAACCTACAGTATTTGTCTATAAACTCTAGTGGAGCAGAGCATTAAAAGGAAATATTCAAGTACCTCAAAATTGTCCTAAATCACAGTACTTACTTACATGTCTCTTGGGTCAAGCACAGGAAAGCTTTCAAGTTGAAAGATTTTTTTTGGGTGATGCTGGATTTCTCCTTCTGCAGATTTTCCAGACAACCCGAGTAAAAGCTGGGGCAGAACACACTGGGATATACTTCAGGATTCCCATGGAGGAACTAGAGGACATGGCTGCAGAATAAAACTCATGTGGGCAGCTTTGCTTACCAAGACCCAGAAGGAGGTAAGATATTTAATAGTGCTGGATTGATTGATTCTGTTTGAAGCCAAGTCACCGGTTCCCCAAACGGATCAGCAGGAGGTGCATATGATCAAGACGAAATGTGGCATGAGAAAATATATTTTTCACAGCTGTGACTGAGTTGTCTCACACAGGTGTTAACATTTTCTGTGCTTTGCAGATAATGCTGTTACACCCACTATCAACTTTGTTGCCATGACAAATTAACAAGGTTGTTATCAACATGCATGAAAAGGAACATGCAGGTCATGCTCTAGTTAATGCTCTTTCACATCTCTCCTTTTGCGGCTATTGTAGTTTCCTTGATTTTGAGGAAAATGTGAAATACATTTTGTTTGCCTTCAAAACCGGAAAAGGTCTGGAAAACACAAGACTACAGTAAATACTAAAATAAAGTCCTAATAATGGTGTACAGGTAGGTAACTACCATTATCATCCTACTGAATGTCATTATTATTATTTTATGAATTAAATTCTGACTAAAGCAAGTACATATGAATGAAATATACTTTACAGGCAGTATTTTAAAAGTGCAAAATTTTGTCACCTCTGGAGTCAAGTTGGATAAAAATGTCTTGTCAAATGTCTGGTTCAGGTGAATCACACAAACATAAATGTCAATAACAATGAATACAACATGATTTACTTTTTTGATACTACAGTCTGACAAGTAGCAATGGATCAGATCGTACACGACATGTAATTACAACATGTAACCATATTGTGTACCTACAGTAACTACTAATATTTGAACTGTAACACATTTACTTTTCCTTTTTATCATTTCAGTGAATTCCCTAATGACATTGATTGTTTACCACCAACAGCTGCTGTTTTGGTCTCCCCAGAGGTTTTACTGGCGGTTTTGGCTTCTTGTCATGAGTCTTCAGATGCGCTCGGTAACCTTGATAGTAATAGAAACACTTGCCACATTTATCACAAGTATATGGTTTTTCTCCAGTATGAACTCGCAGGTGAACTTTCAGAGCACATGCTCTAGAGTAGCTTTTACCACAGATTGAGCAGAGATGAGTCCGCTCTCCAGTATGTGTTTTGAGGTGCAAACGGAGGTTGGAGGATTGTGCAAATGCTTTCCCGCACTGATCACAGTGGAAATTCTTTTCTCCAGTGTGCGTCAACTCATGTTTTTTAAGTGCATCTGCTGTGAGGAAGCCCTTTCCACACTCTGAGCAGAGGAAAAGAGATTCTCCAGAGTGAATGCGCTGATGTAGTTTAAAATAATACTCATTTTTGAATGTCTTGTCACAGTCAAGACAAGTGTAAGGCTTTTTGTGACTCTCTCTGTGTTTTTCCAGTTGTTGTTTCTGAGGGAAGTCCATGCCACACTTTCCACACACGTGAACTGTCACAGGAGATTCTTTAGGAGGACTCCTTTCTTTAAGTAAAGTCCACTTTGGTAACTCTTCTGTGAAAACAAAACAAAACAAAAAAAAAAACAGATTTATAGTTCATTCTTAGACATTTTTGCAATGTTAAGGACTGGTCACAGGAGCATTTTTAAAACTGCAAAATGTCAATGCGACATGAATTCATATCAGTGGAATCACCGCAATTAGTGGATTCGTTTGCACCAAGGAAAACGATTGTACACTGCAACTTATTAGTTGTGTTGCACCATCAACATTTATTCCACCTCATTTGTCAGAGGATAAGCTGCTCCAACAAAGGAGAAATGGTTTGCAGGCAGTTATGAAACAGCAGTTGATGGTTTATGAATGAACTGCGTTAACTTTGCATCTTTTTAGCAACCGAGGTAACTTATTATTGACCAAAATGGTGTACATTTTGGACAGTAATAATAATAATAATCATCATCCTAGGCATGAGTAAACACCACAGTACAGAGAAATAGAATGACGGTAGCATGTTAGCTCACTAGCTACAGTAGTTTACCAACTGGCCCTGAGAGACATCAAGAATATTGCTTGGAGGGACATGGAGAAATTTTCCTGTGCCACTTTTTAGTGTGACCAGGCCTTCAGTCAGCGGAAAACAAGTTCCAAAACTTATTTCTTAGTTATAATTTGTACCCATAAATCAGAATCCGCACTTTTGAGCAAAAGAAGACTGTAGTGACAAGACAGTATCAGATCCACACAACCTACGTTTTATTTGAGGAAAAACCTACTGAAAAACTAAGACCTTGCCATAAAAACATATAATTAAAAACAAATGTGTAGTTTGAAAACTAGGAGCTTCCTGTTTGTTCTGACCTCTGTGAACTTTCATGTGAGTCTTGAGGTTTCCACTCTGGGTGAATCCTCTTCCACATATGAAGCACTTGAAGGGTCTCTTTCCAGAGTGAATCACAAGATGTCGATGCAGGGAACCATTGTAAGAGAAAACTCTTCCACAAGTCGGACAGCTGTAGATCTTCTTGGACCTGCGAGGCCCTGGGAATTGTCTTGGTTCCTCATGTGGATTTTCCCGAGACTGTTCTTTGAAGCCACTGTGTTCTAGACTTCTTGCTGTTTCTCCTAAAAAATAAAAAATTAAAAAAAAATCTAAGATAGTGTGAATATGGCAAAAGCAACAAAGCACTGAGTAAAACCGATATCAGTTTCACTTTAAGCACCATATTTTCAGAGTACCTGCTTTCTAATTAAACTGTTGCTATCAAACACACACAACCAACATAGATCTATATATCTAGATAGAAGCACAACAATTCATTGTATTGGAGACAGTCATATTTATGAAGATAAAGTCTTACACACTGACATGTAGTCATTGAGGTATTACAGACAGAGGCAATAATTTTACAAACATTCTAGCCCGTTTCATTTGGAAGAAAAGCTCTCTGTCATTTAATCCACAGTATTGAGCTACACAAAAAAGGCTGAGTTGCGCTGCTTCAAAGTCTAATTCTAAACATAAACTCAGCATACACATTTCCGTGGTCATTTATTTTGACCCCTAGGTGGATTTGTGGTCACTTGAAGCTTCAACACAAACTATTTTTTTGCTTCATATAGCTGGAAAGCTTCGATGCTTCAGCGAGGCTTGATCTTTCCATCACTACTGCTGAGCTGCAAGAACATCACTTTTTAAACCAGGCTACCTGGAAACATGTTTAAACGTTTCTTTCCTCTTCAGACAACACTCTACTGGGTTACTTCGCAGGCTTTAAGTCTGTACTAAAGACTTTCACACTAATATTGGATAACTGACGTTAGCTAGAGGCCAGCTAGCATGCCGCACTAACTCAACCTTTGCTGGCCCAACACTCACCTCATTCGTGGCATTTTATCATGTTAGCTTCAACTCACCTCCCTGAGTCTCGTCATCTCCACAGTACATGTTTAGAGAAGTAAATCGTCTTTTTGCAAGTAGAGATAGAAGCTAGCATATAACGCTAACAGATGCAAGGGCAAGCTTAGATTGTGATTCTTCTTCTTCTTCTGGCAGATAACGAACCAATGATTAAGGCGCATACCGCCACCTACTGCATCGGAGTGTGTGGGGGTCAATATCTGACGCTATCAGATAGCGTTTGCAACATGTGTATGACATTATATATGCGAAATATAGCACCGCTTTAGCAGCATCTTCACTTCACTCTAAACCTTATTCCTCCAAGGATTCACAACATAATACTGTCTTTGAACATTAGTCGAGTTGTAAAGGTACTGTAAAAATAGATTTAAAAAAAGTCACCACTGTGACCTTTAAGGGGAACCCCAACATAGTCTATTATATCATTATATTACATTATAAAACTATGGTTGTTTCATTATAAATTTGCCTACCTGTCCTCATTAGATGCTGTTATGATTGCAAAATGGCAAAAATGTAGCACACACATAATAACACGAGTTGGCATTTAACTCGTATACAACCTGAGACAGCTCCTAGCATGACTGTAGAGTCCTAGTTCTGCTAGTGGATCATGTCAAAATCACTAATTGTAACAACTGTGGTTAGATATTGCAAAGCAAGACACAGAGCATAAAGAAATCAAAGGAGGTAAAAGGTTTTTGTTCAGGATGTTGTGCTCCATTAATATCATCTGTTAAGGGTGGTCTCTAAGATAAGTGTATCAAATCCTATAGTTTATAGTGTAAAGATACTGTACATTGGTTCTAATGTAGAAAAAGAGACATTTTCTTAAAAATGTATGTATTCCATCAACAAGGATACTGTGCATAATTATTTAACATTTAGTATTAGTATTTGGCATGCAGGATACAAAGGCACTCAAATTTTACAGATGGGCTACTGAAGTAAACATAAAAACATGGGTACAAAACATGGATACAAGAAAGACAACACAGTAAGCTTCCAAATAGTTCTTGGCAATGCACACTGACCATGTAGGGCATATTTTCAGACACACTAATCACTTCTGCTGTAGGTGGGAGGAATGGAAAGAAGCACATTTTACTGCAATATTTTCAAACACAGTCAACAACAAAAAGACTGCATCATCAGATCAACTGTTAGACATCCAGCCTAGCCTGCTGCTTCGGTCTACCGAGCTGTCTGGTTGGCCCGATGCGTCTTCCAGCATGTGTGCGCTGATGCTGCCGCAGACCTTGGCGGTAAATGAAGCTCTTCCCACATTCTCCACACTTATAGGGTCTCTCCCCAGTGTGAAGCCTGTGATGCACCTTCAGTTCCTCGGCTCTAGAGTAGCCTTTTCCACAGACACTACAAATGAAAGGCCTGTCTTTCATGTGGGTCTGGTAATGTGCTGTTAGATATGAGTTTATCCGAAATGTCTTCCCACAGATGGAACACGCGAATGGCCTCTCCCCTGAGTGCTGCATCTCATGCAGCTTGAGAGATGAAGCTGTGTGGAAACCTCTGCCACACTGGGAGCAGAGAAACGGTCTCTCCCCGGTGTGGATCCGCTGATGGATTTGTATGTAGCTCTCATTGATGAATCTCTTGCCACAGTCAGGACATGAGTAGGGCTTCTCCTTAATGTGAGTTTTCATGTGTTCTTCCAGCTTTTCTTTTTCACTGAACTGAATGCCACAGCGGCGGCAGAACAGAAGCTGTGATGCACTGTGCTCGACCGTGTCTGATTGAGCAGCTGTCTGTGTATGTGTAGTGATGTGGTGTGCTTGTAAAGCAGACTGATTCTCACATTCTTTTCCACAGTCCAAGCAACGGAGGGATGATCTGATCCTGGACTCTCCCGGCAAAGTCTTCAAGTATTCAGAGAGTTCTGATGCTATAGGATTCACGTCATCAGCAAAGTCTGCAGAACCCTTGCGACCTTTACAGAGATCAAGGAAAGACAAGCCATGTTTCAGGGTTTATACTCTTCAGGAATAACAGTCTTTGCATTGTTTAGTACTTTTACTTGAGTTCTAAAATTAGTTAAATATTAATGAGTTTCAAATGAGGACCTTAGAAATGTATCTAGGCTTTCATTTGTGCAAATGTTTTGGTCAGTCATACAAAAGGTGCACCACTTACAGATAAATAACATCTGTATTTTTACAAAAATTTAAATTATGAATACATAGAAAAAGTAGGGTTTCAGCAAGTCATTGCAATAACAATCCTCTCAACCACCACCTTCCTGCTCCCATTAAAGACAGCATTGGAAAACTGGCTTACTTGTGCGACAGATTCAGCCTGCTCAATGAACTCAATCTGTCAACCACATCAAACCAGTGTCTGTACGTTGGACCAAAGATGGCATGTAAGAAAAAAATGCCACTCTCTACGGTTTTGGTATTTAAATTACCATTGACTGCATCTTTATGCTGTTGAAGAAAAGCAACAGAGTGATGTTCTGTCAATCAATAAGCAGTCTAGGCTGTTCAGGTCATAACCCTGCCCTGAACAACGCAGCTACATAGCAGTCAATCAGTAGCAAAGAGCTAATGTAAACAACAGTCTATGCAACGTTTGCTAACATTAGCCAACGCAGCTACATAGCAGTCAATCAGTAACAAAGAACTAATGTAAACAACAGTCTTTGCGATATTTGCTAACATTAGCTAACTATAACTATAACTATAACATTAGTTTGGCATCCAAAGAGGAGACTTAGAGCTTCAACAGGACCAATTTAGATGTTGCTGATATTTTCCCAATTAACAAGAACTCCCAATATTAATAATAATCCATCGGTAAACACGACCCGTGCCTGAATAAGCAGAAGAAAACAGATGGATGGATGATTATATAATTAAATATTTAAGATCCACACATGAACTTTACATAATATCAGAGGTGTGGAACAATGACAGTGTTTGCCAATATCATATAAAGAAACAGTTTATGGGTAAGATTACCGTTTACAGATTACAAATGGACACTAATATTTTTTCAAGACCTGTAGACATCTTGTCATGTAGACAACTGCAGAGCAGTCACCACTAAAAATAATTTGAATTAGTAGACATAATATAAAAGTAATTAAAATATAATGCTGCTGCTCTTATCACTAAATCTTAGCTACAATAATTTTGTCTGGTTTTCTTTGTGCCCATTCTCATATTGCCAAAATACTGCAAAGCCCTAAGAAAGCAGGGCTGTAATTTTGATTGTCTTATCTTTTAACTATGTCATTTCCTAAACGTTTTATGTCTAATATAATGGACTGGATCAGTGACCCATAAAATTTTTTTTAATGTACCCTCTTAAGATTTTTTGGGGGGGTGACAGTGGTGCGGTGGGTAGAGCACTTGTCTCCCAACCAGAAGGTCGAAGGTTCGAATCTCGGTGCCTGCAGTCCACATATCACAATGTTACAATGACAATAAAAATAAAGCTTCTCTTCCAAAATCTTGCCTCACACACTGAAAATGGTTTGAGCCAAATGACCGAGCACTGTTCAGATGATCTCTTACCTAAGTGGACCTTGTAGTGTGTTTTCAGATTTCCCTTCTGGTTAAAACCCCGACCACAGATGGAGCAGCAGTACGGTTTCTCGCCTGTGTGGATCAGCTCGTGCCGCTCTAGTTTGTATGCATGAGGAAATTCTTTGCCACACACTGAGCAGTGGTACTCAATCTTCTCTTTGGGCTTCTTCAGGAGCTCTGGAGGTATTTCTATTGGTATACAATGCATCTTTCTGCCAGGGCGCTTCTTCCCTATATAGAGGGAAAGAATTTGAATTACAAGGGTAGGGTGTTAACTTAATGCTTACAAAATGAGCTTGCAGAAAAAAAAACCCCATCACAACCAAAAAGGCTGTGTTCAAATTTACACTGTAGTGATTTTTGTCCACTCATTATGTTCTTCACCAAAAGTATTTTCTTTTTAAATACTGAACTGATAGTAAACTTAACTTTAACTCATTAATAAACTCCCAGGTCACTCCTCCACGTTGAAAAAGACTGGTCTGCTCATAGTCAGACCAATTCCACACAATTCAATTCAGTTCAGTTCAAGGTCTACACCTTACTATTATTATTATAAAGGAAAAGCCACACATGCCAAACTTTGGTATTTGATTATCATACAAGTGATTTTTACATGTTAAGTTTCCAGAGAAGCATGCAGTCATAGTAGCAATACTTTTACTAAGGTCTACATTACCACTTATTTCCCTAGTTAGAGATACTATGCTGCTTACAACCTCTGGTGGACTGTTTTATTTACTCTTACCTACTGAAAGATTAGCATTTTCTCCTTCTACGGATGGTTTAACGTCTTTCCTTCTTTTGTAAGGTCGCTTTGCTGTAAAAAAAATAAATAAAAAAAATAAAAAAGCTTTAGTTAAAACATAAACCACTGTTAAACTGCCATATGAATATGAGCTGTGTATCAAAAATTGGCTCAGAAATGGATTCAAGATATTTAAACACCAGTTACATAGATAGATAGATAATCTAACAGAAAAGGCCTGGTTAAAGGCATTGCCTATCTTTTTGAACGGTTGGAGGTTTCATGTCTACATAAATGCCTGTCACATGTTTCTCCTCCTCCCTCTGACTAGCTCTTTTACTGCTTCACTCAGCAATTCTTTTGTTTTCTTGCTCAAACAATATGCAATAAACCATAATCAATGAGCTAAACAGGAGTCAGAGTCAACTATCACTTGTAAACCACAGTTTTTCTTGTCTTACCAGCAACACGATGGACAGTTTTTGCATTTAACTCTTGTGATTTCACTATGGTGGCCAAATTTCTTTTTCTTCGGGTACGCCTTGATACTATGAGATAAAAAGTAGGCCTTATTACAACAAAATAATAACATTCAAAATGATCATTTCACATGCATAAGCATGTATTCAGTCACCATAAAAATCAAGAGGAACACTCACTTCCAGGCTCTGCCTCCAAGTCTTCACCAGACAAAGGTGGAGTTTCTGAAATTCTTCTTCTACTCCTTCTCTTTGCTTAGTAACATAGAGAAACAGCAGGAAATATCACTATATACTGTATATTATACTGATACTGAATTGTGAATACCCCAAAAAAAAAATCTACAAATCTGATGAACCTGAATCCCCTGCATGTACTAATTAAATCAAAATTGTAAACATGCATTATATCAAATTTCCATCAAATCACTCACCAGGACCTGCAGGAACTTCTGTCTGTGCATCTGGGGCATCCAGTGTCACCAGTTTTATTTCTGGACCCTTGTTCTTTCTTCTGTGTCTCTTTCCTGCTAACATCATGTGCAACAACACAACCCCAGAACTGAGTCATAACTATTATTTACAACCTGTACAACAGTTTTAAATGTTGTGTTGATTTCTGTTTACCACAGTACAAGCGTGGAACAGCTTTCATCTTTACTAATCTCTCTTTTTCCTCCCCTTCTTCCCTTTCTTCATCTTCCCCCACAGACACAACTTCCATGATGAGTGTTGGACTACTGCTCCCTGTCTGGCTTTGGCCTTGCAGCTGTGACTGGAGAAGTACAACACCCTGTTATCATAATCATTACAAATCATCAAAAATATACCCCCAAAACCGTTACTTAATTTATTTCAGGGTCAAGGCACATGTTAATTAACATCACTGCAAATATTCCAGTGTTAACAAAAGGCCAATTTTTAACTGCTGTCCTTAGGCCAGATGATAAATTAGCCTTTAAAATAAATTCAAACCTTCCCTGGGTACCAGTAATTCAGCCTGCAAACAGAGCAGAGATTGAAACTATTCTGTAACTGTCAATTAGTAATCCTGCCTATTTATCTACCCTGCAGTCAAAGTGATGACCACTTCCGCTGATAACCCAGTTTTGGATTACTACTGTATTTCAGAGTTGAACTTCAAAGGTTAAATCAGCTGTAAAACAGAAGATGCACTGTGCTACTCCAGTAATTGTGTGTGGCTAAGTCATAATGTCAACATTTAGACAGCAGCACTGTGGGAAGTTTTCAGCTGTTCTTCAGCCCACAACAAAGCTCCTATTTAATCAGACAGACGCTGCACAGACCTCAGACAGAAATAACATTTTTGGGGGCTTTGAGTACCCCTATGAAAATTCATTTCACAATTGGATCAAAATGCTAATGTGCATAAAATCTTCCTCCAGGAAAACTCACTGCTCATTCACTCATTCTTTCTTATTTATCAAACTGGAAAAGTTGCGTTACAGAAAGTTTTTTTTTTCCCGGTTTAGGGCAGGTATTGACTCAACTCCATGTTGACTTCTGGAGGCTGTATACAGCATGTGGTACTATTAAATTGTATCCCAGAAATCAGAGGTTTTGAGATATTATCACCCTTATCTATATCTTTGTGTTGCAAAATGTATAAGTTAGGACAAAGTACCTTGCTAGCCTGAAGGCTTTCTGTGCAGTCAGAGCCTCGGTCAGGACTGTCTCCTGTAAAAATCAAGACAGCTGGCTCAGGCTTAGACATACAGTACCTGTCATGACAACTGTTGTTCAATATCTTAAACATTATTTTAAAAAGTGCTCCGACCTTAAATAAATAGATGCTTTCAAAGAGAAGAATAAGGTGAATGTAATGATAAACTAAATATCATACTGAGTTATGGTCATCCATTCAGTTGTGACATAATAATGAAAATAAAAGAACTAAAGCTCTGTATAATACTGGTTTCATAATTTAAAAAGTTGTTTTAGGAAGGCAAATATATTTAGTTGCCAATTTTTAGGAAACAATTTTAACTGGTGCTTAAAATGTTCTGCCATGGGAAACCAAAACAAAGCGGTCCCTTGAACAAGAAATGTGTAGTGCTTGAATGAATCAGCGCTTTATAATGAACATGCAGGTATGAATAACTTACTGGCATCCCACTCAACCACCTCTCCGTCAGAGTTGATTAAACCACCAATTTCTTCATCTTGTTCCTCTTCTTCCTCCCCTGCCTGCAGTCTGACTGTCACATGGAGTGTTTGTTCCTCTACATTTGCAGATGCCATGTCGAGTCCACGTGACATCAGGGGCTTTCGTTCAGGAGAATCCTCAATATACAACACAGTTCAAAAAGGCATTTATTTTCTGTATCCACAAAGTAAATCTGACAAGAAGTCACACCAGCCATTTCTCTCATTTGGTTGGCATGCATTGTGATACACTGTGGCAAATGGACCTGGCTGCAAGAACATTTTCCTACTCTTATCACAAATCTGTTACTTTTTTGTGGCTGTGCATTCTGTACATGATTTGTATGGCAGGTCGCAGCCACTCGTGATTTTCTATTAATTTCATAAAGAAATTCTAAATATGAGAAACTTGCTGACAGCTTGTATGTGCCACTTAAGAATGACAGATATTCTTGCATGAGGCCTATTGTGACATTATACAAGTGCATTTACAACTAACAAATAAATAAAATAAGCAAAACCTAAGAGAATTTTAATTGAAGTCATTGAAGAAATGCTGACCAAATGAGCTGAAGTTTAAATGGAGCAATTTCTGTCATGGAAACTCATCAGGAAATCAATAAGAAACTCAACACAACTAACTTAAGTAGCACCAAACTATATGGTTATTTCCAGAAAATATTCTATTATTATTATTATTGGAAAATATTTATGAGATTTGCAAAATAATGCATGACCACAACCATGAATAGATGATAAGAAAAACAATTTAAAAATAGAAGATTTTGATAAATTACTGACATTTGAAATATTTCCAAAAAGTGTTTCTACATACTGTTTGGCAAGGTGCTGATCGTTTGGTCTCATGTAGTTCCACTTCTGTTTGCAAAGATGTGCTTTGTTTTACAGCAAGGCTCTGGTCTTCGGGATAACAGCCCTCGTCTGTGCATGTTTGCTGCTGGGATTTCATGTTTCTTGTGGTACGGGGAGTAGCCTCGCGTACTGTGTAGGAGAAAGTTTTCTCTCCATTGTCATTGCACTGATGCACAGTCTCATTTCCCAATGCCTTCTCACATATAGAGGAAATCTTAGGTTTCTCATTAGAGTCCATGAGCATGTGTCCCTGCTGCCCCTTTCTGGCAGAGGAACTCTGCCCATAGACAGTGGGGCTACCAGGCTCCTTAGAGCATTTCTCCACCCCTGAATTTCCTCTCTGCGGTCTCTTTATTCCATATGAAATGCAGCGCTCCTTCCCACATGCTTTGAGGTTTGGATGACAAGTATGTGCAGAAGCAACCTCTTTTTCTATCTCTGCGCTCTCATCTGGGAGTAAGATTACAAAGCAAAACAAGTGTGAAAATCACAACAGACTAACTCTATGAATGTCATGTAGTAAAGTGACATGGGTATTTAAGATTTTCCACTCACGATTTTCACTCACAATCCAGCCTTCCTCTTCTTCTTTGATGATCACTTGAATGTCTGGAGTCTCACAGTTATAGTCTGGGCTTTCTAGTGCTTTTTTGGTCTCCTGCTGTTGCGAATTCTTGTCATCATAGTTTTCATTTAGTCTCAGTGACAGTGGATCTTGTAGTTCAGGATCCTATTAAGACATCAGGACACCCATGCTTAGTAATCAGATGGTAACATTACCTACACACTTAAGAGTCCACAAATATCCAACATGTGATGGGAAGGGGAAAATGCTGCAGGCTACAATAACACAAGGTTAATCTGGCATGAAAGCATGCTCTCTAAATTCTTCATTGGCAAAGAATATACACCTTCCACTTAAAAATGGTCAGGTTTGACAAGTAATTCCACATTCAAGACAGCAGAATAAAACAACAACATCCTATTGTTGCAACCTGCGTGCATTCACTGATTATTCCAAGAACGTCATCCACATTGATAGGCCTGTAATTCCCCATTAAATGTCTATTTTAATATCATAAGGTGCACATGGTAGAAAGGTGCGCAGGAGAATGAAATTATGGAAAAAAGACAGCGAAGTCCTGCAAGTGAGTGGTATTTAAAAAGCAAAGTCCAGTCACTAGGTTTGAAAGCAAACAAAAAAGTAATGCAATCAAATCAAAAGGGGAGGAAGTAATGTGGAGTCAAATTTGTTTTTTGTACCCTATGATCACAAATCACAAATTTCCCTCAGGGAGCTTTACAATCTGTACAGCATATGACACACTTTGTCCTTAGAAATAAGAACAGATAAGGAAAGGATAAGGAAACACTGGCCCACAGTATGAAAGTATTTATGTACCTATCCAATAATTTGTTTTTATTGTATTCCATGAATGTTGAGACACCTTGCTTTTTCTCTTTTTATGGATGCAATTCATTCATCATTAGCATCACAAGTTTGTAACTCTTTAACAATTAAGCAGATACAAACAAACTCTACGGGCTTTAAAGTTTGATTCTATTTAGCTTAATCTACTATGTTATTGTTCATATCTAATTGTATTCATATAGATCTGCAGGAAATAGGAGATTTGGAAACAGTATATTGATAAAGTGAAAGATATTGTAGAAGACCTTGAAAACCAAGTTGGTACAATAATGTTCTAATATTAAGATATTATCCCAGCAGTTATGTTATACCCATGCATTACTACAGACCTGTATACCTGAGTAATGTAAATATATAGTGTACATTGATCCATTCTATTATAATTTGTGCAAACTCAGCAGAGCACAGGGTTTCAGACATTTTATAACACCACACGGAATGCAATTTAATACCTTTTCATGGTCATAGAGGTCAAAGAACAATGGAAAATCAGGAGGGACAATAAAACATACAATTATGTATTAACAGTATGAATATATTTGCATTTGTCACATTTTTTGTCTGTACTTCCCTGCTGTATATAATGCTAACTCCTACTGTAGCTAATCAATTAACACAACCTGGACCCAGAGAGGCTGTAAAAATATGATGACTGGAGAAACGAATTAGAAAACTATTGCTAAAACACTAGTTCCTGCTATATTTGATACTGTTCATTATCCGTTGATAAGATTCCTCACTAGTATACTGACACTGTTTGCTAATGGTGTGATGGTGCAGAATGAAACGCCATAAAAATGAAGAACACCATCCTGCAGAACAATACACTGTCAAAACAATCGCACTTTTAGCATATACTGTAGATGAATAACCTATGTTACTGACAACTACAGGCAGCAAGAAAACATATTCAAGACTTTTGCAATTTAAAACTTTTTAAAACCTTCTATAGCCTTTATTGAGCTAATTGAATTCAATGCTCTTAAAGCTTTTCCAGACCTGCAGATAACCTAAAGCACCTTGCTGTACAGAACCCATTAATACAGCGTATTGCTGCGGCAATACCTGTGTATAGCAAATATTCACCGTGTGTAGGAATTATACACCAAATCTAGTCTCATAATTTTCTCTTTCTATTTAATGTCTATTATTTACAGGTTAAATTGTCATTTAGCTACTTTCTAAGTGCCCTTTGGCTAACTATCCATATATCTTCCGACTGGATTTACTCAGATTACATTTAGCCTAGCAAATGTAGTGTGGCCAAATATAATCCATCCATCCATCCATCATCTATACCGCTTTTTTTTTTGATATCATGCAAAATTTAGATATTTATTTTAAAAAGCTGCCAGTTTTAGAGCATCCGCAAAATGACCTGCACAGGCGACAGTAATTTCGCCCTAAGGTACAGTGCTGATAACGTTACCAATCTTATATGCATAAACGCAATATTATCATTAAGGTGCTGGCTTAAATAGACTTGTTTTATTACGCCAACTGTCATTATTCTAGACACCTTGAGCTAACAACATATGATATCATATCATATCATATAACGTTAAATCTGTACTAACTTGAGACTTTGACACAAAGAAGCCCTACTACTTCAATAAGTAGTTAGTTTTGAACTTATTGAATGGAGCGCTAGTTGATTTATGACAACCACCACCAGCTAATTAGCTAGCTTTTAAGCCATTATTACTATATTATTTTGAGCAGTTATTAAACGTAAGAACGAAACAGCGTTAATATTTAAACCAATGTCACCCTAGTCGATCCACACCTAACAAAGCACTTCTTATTTAACTACATCCCAGCTTAATTAACTAAGTCTAGCTATAATAAGCTACATCCAGCAAACGACAGCCTGCCGTAACGTTACAATGAAATTATAACGTTAGCCTGAATGGCAGCCACGTTACCTCAAACATACTGCGATGTGTTCACCCGTTTTGAAGGACGTCATAAGAAAAGCAGGATTAACAGTAAATAAACCTAAATTGTTGCGTTACTCTGGTTGAGCAGCTGTCATAAACTAACCCACTACTGTCTGGGTTAGCCAAACTGTTGTCGCACCTTCTTCTTCTCTGTTTTTACCATCTGTGATGGCGGATCACAAGCTAATCGACGCACACTGCCACCTGCTGGGCAGAACCAACATATAGCCAACATAAAATACACCATAACTCCCAAGCATACTGATATTCAGCTAAAGGCCAGTTTATGAAGGCAGCAGTGTATAAATAAAATAAAGTAACCTTTAGTGAGTGTAAAAAATATGTAAATATTTGACCATATACATAGATTAGGGGGGATGATGAGAGAATGGGTCCTGGGCACAGACATGTAAATGAGTCATACACTTAAGGTCAGTTTGTAGCTGCATTACATTAACATTAACAAAACATGTGCCAATCTGCATAAGTACTTTTACTTGTGGTAATTAAAGTATATTTTAACATTAATACTTTTGTATTTTTACATAAGCAAAATTTTGAATGCAAGACTTGCACTTGTAACACAGTGTTTCTGGCTGTATTGCTACTTTTACTTAAGTAAAAGTGTTTCTTCCAGCACTAGTTAATAGGTGACTGTTTCATTAAGCTCGTGGTCGAAAATAAAGACTAGAATCAGTGACCTTAGCTGAACTTTGAACTGCAGCTGCATTTAGAAGCCACATGGCTCAAATCAGCTGGGCTTCAGGCTTTACAACATCATCGAGGACCGACACAGGTCGAAGTTGTCCTCTCTACTCAAGCTACATACACAGGTGAGCGTGTTACCACTTAGTTAGCAGGAACCCACGTGACACACTGATGTGCCTCAGTGTGTGTGTGTGTGTGTGCGTGCGTGTGCGCGCGCACAATTAGGTGGCTGGTGTGTGTGTGTGCGTGCGCGCGCGCGCAATTAGGTGGCTACACTTTGAGGAGCAGTTTCCGCTTTATGCCATGGAAGTGAGGCACTGTACTTGTGATGCACCTTCAGAGGTCTGAGCAGCGAGCAGAGCTTCGCCCTCGGCTGTACTCCACCGCTGCCTGGTGA